ACGGACGCGGCGCTCGCCCCCCTCAGATGTCAGGGTGTGCGAATTCTGAACTACTTGGACGATTGGCTGATTCTAGCACAGTCAGAAATAGAGCTCGTATCTCACAGAACTATGCTTCTCAGTCACTTGGAAAGATTGGGTCTCACGGTCAACTGGACCAAGAGCTCATTACGGCCCAGCCAGTCAATCTCCTTTATAGGGATGGAAACTGGACTCCGTGGCTATGAAGGCTCAGCTGTCGACAGAGCGCGCACGCCGTGTTTGACACCTAGCCGCATCTTTCCAGAAGGGCAGAACCGCCTCCCTGAAAAAAATTCAGAGGATGCTGGGCTGTATGGCCTCAGCTGCAGCAGTGCTTCAGCTGGGCTTACTGCGCATGCGCCCGCTACAACGCTGGTTGAATGCCCGCGTACCCTGTCAGGGGTGGACGCGCGGCCACAAGCGGATCAGGATATCTCAGGGCTGCATTTCAGCTCTGCAGCCCTGGTTAGCGGCCAATTGGTACCAGCAGGGGGTGACAATGGGAGCGATTTCCCACCAGAAAATCATCTCGACAGACGCCTCCAACTCAGGTTGGGGCGGCCTTTTCGAGGGCAGACCGGTCTTTGGCCAGTGGCCAGACCAAGAGAAACGCCTTCACATAAAATGTCTGGAGATGCTGGCGGTCGAGAACGCGCTGAAGTGCTTCCTCCCGTTCATACAGGACCCAACACGTTCTAGTCCGTTCGGACAACATGTCGGTTGTGTCCTACGTGAACCGCCAGGGCGGTGTCAGATCCAGGAGCCTCTGCGATCTGGCAGAACACCTCCTCGTTTGGGCCCAGTTCTTCCTGCGCTCGCTGAGAGCGATGCACGTGCCAGGGATCCTGAACGACGGCCCGGACAGACTGTCCAGGGACAATATTCCCCCCGGGGAGTGGTTTTTACACCCCCAAACAGTCCAGCTGTTATGGCGCCTCTTTGGCAGAGTGGAAGTCGACCTATTCGCGTCAAAAGCCAACGCTCATTGCCCAGTGTTCTTTTCAAAGAACGAGGATGCGCTGGCCCAACTCTGGCCCAGCCGCCCGCTATATGCCTTCCCTCCGATCTCTATGTTACCACAGGTAATCAAGAGAATCGCACAGCCCGGTGCTCCTCATAGCCCCGCGATGGGAGAACCAAACCTGGTTCCCAGAACTAACACGGCTGTCACACACAGGAGGCTGTCACTAGGAAGGAACGAGCTGGTCATCCGCTTCTTAAGGAGGAGCCAGAAGGATGAACCCTCCGCGCCCACCTTCGGTTCCTATTTGGGATCTCTCCGTGGTCCTAGAGGCCCTAAAGATGCATCCCTTCGAACCATTAGATTCAACGAATCTAAAATACCTCTCGCTCAAAACCGTTTTTCTTTTGGCTCTGTCATCAGTTAAATGTGTGGGGGACTTACACCCGCTTCTGTTAGCGCAGCGTGCCTTGAGTTTGGTTTGAATTACTCTAAAGTCATCCTCAAACCGAGACATGGCTATGTCCCGAAGGTGATTGGCTCTCCCTTCAGAGCGCAGATTGGCTCTGCCAGCATCCGACAGCGTGAGCAGCGACAGCCTCCTCTGCCCTGTCAGGGCACTGAGAGCTTATGTTACGCGCTCCACCCCCTTCAGACGCTCCGAGCAGCTCTTCGTTTCGTTTGGCGGGCGCACCAAAGGTCTCGCCGCCTCGAAACAGTCCTTATCCAGATGGATAGTGGACGCGATTTCTGCTGCCTACGCGTCAAAAGGTCTGCAATGCCCTCTGGGCATCAGGGCTCATTCCACAAGAGGCATGGCCTCGTCATGGGCATGGTCCAGTGGAATTTCCATTCACAACATCTGTATAGCGGCGGGCTGGGCCTCCCCGTCTACATTTGTGAGATTCTATAATCTGGAAGTTCCCGCCTTGCAGGCTAGACTTCTGTCAGTCTATGTGTGTATGACCTGCCCACATGACTGGTGCGCAGGCTACCTCAATGATAGCTCTCCTGGTTGAGCTGCACTAATATGGGTTGATTTACATGTAACATGCAGCCCGGCGCCGCCGCTCTGCATTCCCCATGGGTGCTTATGCTTATACAGGTGTCGGCCCGCTTGCTGGCCGCCTGAATTTCCCACTTTCACTGTTCCCCGGGTTGGGACTCATAGAGTGGATGCTGGGCGCGCACGGCGTTGACAAAGTGTTCCCGTAGCGTAAGCTAAACTTACGCAATACGAGAGAACATCTCGTAAGAGAACGTACTCGGTTACCTAACGTAACCTCGGTTCTCTCTAGAGAGGGAACGAGTATTGCGTAACCGGCCGTGCTGGCGCCACGAGCGATTTTCGCTTCAGATCATGAAAACCAGGGAAGCAGCCTCTGAGCCCCACTTTTATACGCTAAGCCACACCCCGTTGCAGTGGGCGCGAAGCGCCACCATTGGGCGTGACGTCACGCCAGGCTCACTGGTAGGATGCTGCAGTTGCCGCAAGGCAGCCAATGAGCACGCTAGATAGCCTGCTCTAGGTCTGCAGCTGCTGCACTGCGTTGACAATATATACAAAATTAAGGATAATTTTGGCTTCAATATCTCGAGCAAAGATGAACTTTACCCGTAGCATAAGCTAAACTTAAGCAATACTCGTTCCCTCTCTAGAGAGAACTGAGGTTACGTTAGGTCCAAAATTTCAAATTGTGAATGAAAAGGTTTATTGGGAACTATAGTTTCTTCGGGGTCTAATGAGGTAAAATTGGGTTTGAAGTGGGCTAATTTGTGGGCTGGTTTGTATGAGATTTTATTTGTTTATTTGTCATACTTTCTGGACAGACTTTGCAAAGCAATATCTTATTTTTGAGCTTAATAATAAATAGCTTTTCCCGCCATTGACAAATTTCCGGCTATAATTTTTTTTACTGTTATACTGTAGGAGGCGCTATTACACATCTACTGAAAGAGTGCAGAATCTCCTGATCAAAACACAGGCGAAGAATAGGCAGAACTGAGCGATGGCATATGGAATCAGATGTGAAATAACGCAATCATCAACATTAAAAAGCATATAAATCAAAACTGCACAATGTTACTGAATGAAATGTCGACTCAGGACGAGCTTTAGAACTGTGAAGCTTTGAGGTGTTGATGGACTCGATCTTCTCCATCTGTGTTTTGATCATTGATCTGAATCCGATCTGGATGTAGTCTTTGACAAAAATGCCATTTTCTTAGTCCCTAAAAGGGGTAGTGGGAACTTTCGGTAATTTATACCACAGTAAAGTTTAGTAATAGTAAATGTTATTTATATAGCACCTTTCACAGACAAGGAAGGGTCACAAAGTGCTTTACAGTAACAAATAAAATCAAAACAAATAAAATAACAACTGTACAAATACCATCGAATACCACAGAAATGTAATAAACACCAAACCATATTGTTAATTAAAAGCTTGTCCAAAGATACACATTTTTGGACAAGCTTTTAATTAACAATATGGTGTGGCGTTTATTTTGCTTTTAAAAGATTCCACAGAAACCATAGTTCTCAATGCTAAAGCGTGAGAGTTCATTCCAGAGCCTTGGAGCCACAACACAGAAAGCACGGTCACCTCTCGTCTTAAGACATGTTCTGGGAGTAGTTAAAATGGCTTTGCTCTACAGGTCCACTTGTGCCTCACCGAATCGACTCCAGCTGGAAAGAGTCGAAGTGACCTTACAGGCCTTGGAAAGGAGCTTAGGGTGATTCCACCAGATGGTGGCGCTCTGCGGGCACAGGTGAGCCGCAACCACATGCTCCACCTGGGAAATCTCTGTGTACCCCCTGGTCACTCCACCGTAGAGGGTAGTAAGGGTGGAGGAGCTCGTGAAGCATGATCGGGCAGTAAAAGATAGCTTCCACAACCATGTGAGCTCCTCATGCACTTCCGGGAAGAAAGGCATCGGAGACCCCAGAAACCAATCATCCAACCACGAGCGCATGGCTGCCAGCTAGCCGTCACACTCAGAGTGAGCCACCGTACCCGAGGTTAGGAGCACAGCCGAGTCTTCCACATCAGAAGGTGCTGCTATCAACAGCTCATCCTCATCTGAAGCTCAAAATGAGATGCCGTGTCCATCATGCAACGCAACGTCATGTGACGCAACATTGTGTGATGTAACTTTAAACTCACCCAGGAACTCCACCGGACGCAATGTGCAAGAGGAGTCCTTGAGGGATTCACCCAGCGAAAACACTCGCCGTTTGTGTACAGTACAGCTCTTTTAATAATAATAATAATAATTCTTATTATTGCTCTTTTAGCGCTTATTGCGCTTGCTCTTTTAGAGAGAGACTGCTGTAATGCGCCGTATTTTTCTCTCCACTAACCGAAACAGTTTCTTGCAGAGATGAAATGAGCTTGTGTATAGAGGAAACTCGCTGTGCTCTGAAAAAAACGAATCTGAAAGAGTGAACGCACGCCGGCCGCTCCCTATATACCCGTATGCTGGGGAGTGGCATGCAAATTTCACTCACCAAATCTCATTGGCCTTTTCTGAAGTTTCAAAAGTGTTTGGGGTTTCCAAGTGCAACCCCTAGTGTCTTCATTTCGACACAACATCGGCAATTGAAGTTACATTCAGTAACCGAAGACGTTAAACCATAGTTGCTGTATAAACCATGTTTAATTTTTGTAACACCAAAATTGTCCCATCTAGTTGAATATTGGTCTTTTATTATCTTGCTGGTGGTATTTTCTAAATGCAAACTCATTGTCCACCCTTGTCCTGTGGAAAAATGATAGCAAAGTGTTGTCATGTTAGGAACATGCTAGCATTGTGCTAATCCATGTTAAAAACCTGTTAGCAACATGCTAAATCATGCTAGCAACATGGTAAAACATGCTAGAAATGTGCTAATTAATGGTTGAAACATGCTAGCAGTGTGCTAAATCTTTTTTATAAAGGTGATATTTTTGAAAAGCAAGCAGCCGAGGGTGTTTAATCACTTCTGTGTCTAATCTACAGGCATGCAGGACTGCGAAACCCTCTATGAACTACGGCTGGGCGATTCCTGGCCTGCGCTGGGTCACGGGGAAGGAGCGTCTGTTCCCGGTCACCACCGGCCGCAGCTCCAGCCCGGAGAAAGATGCAGAAGAGATGGAAGAGTCATCTGATGATGTAAGACCAATGTGTTTATGTCTGTCATCTTTGGCTTGAGCAAGTGAACATTCAGTCATTACAGTTTATTTTAATTGCTTTGGTGCAATTTTCACAAGCAAGTGGTACATTTTCAAATCTCTTAGTAGGCTACTAATCTCACAACAGGTCATCAACAATTACTGCAACACCCTTCATCTGAATGGACATCTACGATATAGATTCATATAATACAGTGCAGAACACGTGGAACTCTGTTCTAGCACAAAACCATGTTATATCTTCACATATTTTATAAGTCATTTTTGTGTTAGGTTTCAAGTTAGGTAATGTGTGTTTTTTAATGCAACAACTGTAGCTTGTATTACCGTAACATTTTATTCCAGCAACAAGGATGTTTTGTAACGTCTATCTTTTATTATTTGCTACTGAATTAACTTTTTGTTAAAGTGCCCCTATTATGCTATTTAAAGGTTCCTAATTTTGTTTTGGAGTCTCCTACAACAGATTAACATGCATCAAAGGTTAAAAAAAACACTTTAATTTTCTCATAATATACATTGCACATCACCTAATTTCTCAAAGACTCAAAAACGACTCGTTCAAAGATTCAGTCTCTATAAATCCCTCCTTTCCAGCGGGCCTACTCTGCTCTGATTGGTCAGATGGCCCAGTCTGTTGTGATTGGTCTACTCTGATTGGTCTGATGAACCTGTCTGTTGTGATTGGTCTACTCTGATTGGTCAGATGACCCTGTCTGTTGTGTTTGGTCTACTCTGATGAACCTGTCTGTTGTGATTGGTCCACTCTGATTGGTCAGATGGCCCAGTCTGTTGTGATTGGTCTACTCTGATTGGTCTGATGAACCTGTCTGTTGTGATTGGTCTACGCTGATTGGTCAGATGACCCTGTCTGTTGTGTTTGGTCTACTCTGATGAACCTGTCTGTTGTGATTGGTCTGCTCTGATTGGTCAGATGACCCTGTCTGTTGTGTTTGGTCTACTCTGATTGGTCAGATGACCCTGTCTGTTGTGATTGGTCTACTCTGATTGGTCCGATGATCCAGTCTGTTGTGATTGGTCTACTCTGATTGGTCATATGAACCTGTCTGTTGTGATTGGTCTACTCTGATTGGTCAGATGAACCTGTCTGTTGTGATTGGTCTACTCTGATTGGTCAGATGACCCAGTCTGTTGTTATTGGTCTACTCTGATTGGTCAGATGACCCTTGTCTGTTGTGATTGGTCTACTCTGATTGATCAGATGACCCTGTCCGTTGTGATTGGTCTACTCTGATTGGTCAGATGACCAAGTCTTTTGTGATTGGTCTACTCTGATTGGTCAGATGAACCTGTCTGTTGTGATTGGTCTGCTCTGATTGGTCAGATCACCCTGTCTGTTGTGATTGGTCTACCGTGTACAGCGCATGTCGGAAACGAAATGTCCATTACCATAACTGAATTTCAACTCCGGAGGCTTTCCAAGGCCAAGCAAATGTTCACACTGTAAAGACATTAACGATGGCATTGATTTTATCATATCAATCCGAGCACGAATCCGATGAAGAAACATTGGAAGAACTAGTTATTTAACCCGAACCTCCATCGCAAGGACGACTTCAGCAGGACATTTCTCAGTAGGGGCTCCACCACTGGTAAATACACTCATTAGGGGCTTTCGCACCGGGTAGTCCTAGAAACTAGCCAGCAGGGTGGTTCCCTTATGGACATTTTCCTGTTTGCATTCGCACCGCCAGTAGGAACTCTGAAGTGACGTAAGCCGCGTGACTAGTAAGTTGTTGTGACTTTTAATTTGACGGCGCTGAGAACGCCAGAGCCTGAGCTTACAGTGCACGCATTCTCCGTGTTCATTAGTTTACGATCTGTCTAATACGTTATTAGATAGAACTGTTATACATAGAAAGTAGACAGTAATGAACAGTTATTAGCGTATGCAGTGTGGTTGATGTCCAGTGATGCTGAGAAGAAACACATAATCATGTTTCTCTTGGTCTCCTCAAAGTTGCGTTGGGTTTTCTCCTCAGCGTGAAGGTGAAGAGGCGCATCTATCTATTTACATGATCGTAGTTTCTGGAGTAAATATATAGGCTGCGATCTGTGTGTTTACACAGCCTTTTTTTTAAATGGCGGGTGCTGGTGTTTTGCGTGCGTTCGGCCAATCAGCGAACACTAACGTCACTGGTTGTTCCTATAGTGCTGGATTAGACCGACTCTGAAATAGAAGTAAATTTGTTCCTCCAAAAGGATTTCCTAGAACCAAAATCGTTCCTAGTTCCTGCGGTGCGAACACGCCAAAAACAGGAAACTTCTGCCAAGAGTTCTAGGAACTGTGAAAAGGTTCCTCCGGTGCGAAAGCCCCTAGTGACAAGTTTTTACTCAGAAAAGAAAACATGTATAACTGTAATTAAAGCAGGAGATCAGGGTTGAAAGAATGACTAATGCTGATACAAGTGTGAACAGTTTAGATTTTTGTCTTAAGAATTTGGAAAATGTACAACTTTTGAAAATAGTACCAAAGCAAATAAAAAACACCATTATGCTGTTATTTCTTCTGTGGAACATCTATTCCTTGACATTTACAAACTCATGGGTACAATAGAAAGGGATCTAGAGGCTGGTTTATGCTGGTTAGAGCTGGTATAATGCTGATGGACCAGTATAGTCATGCTGTTCTCATGCAGCACTGAGCTGGTGTAGCTGCTCCAGCACTCCCGATTCCAATGGTGGGAACCAGTAAACCAGCACCCCATGCCAAACATACCTTATGATGGTGACCAGCAGTGCTGGATTTTTCAGAGTAGATATAGATTTTCAGTCGTAACATATATTATGAATACCATATTCATTTACATTGAAAACACTCCAATCAAACAATCTTCTCCATCAGTACAGTTTGGGTCGTTTCTCAGAGTTGGAGGGAGCGGGACACAGACCAAAGCCTCAGTGGGGAGAGAACGGCCATGACCGGAAGCTGCAGAGATGCAAAACTCAACGCCTGGTGACCCATCTCCACCGGGACACGGCCCACGACCAAGAAGGCCACATCGGCTCAGAGAAGTTCGGCCATCTGGCTGTGTCCGATCGACCCGGTCTCCACCCATCACTCATTTCACAAGTGCCATTAAGAGTAAGAAGACAGACAATGAATCAGCAGCAGAACAATTTGCAATAACAATTACATTACACTGTTATTATGTGTATCACTTTTTGCAATTGCCAGTGGTGTATGGAAAATGGCGTTTAATTGTTAAACTTTTTGATAACAATTGGAAAAACACAACCCCAAATTGGAATAAATGTTACTAATAATAAAACTTTATTGTAATAATTACTGCAATGCCTTTGAATTATGAACCGAAGCAAGAACATACATTATTAACGCCTATACTGCCACTTTAACAGGATTTTATATATTATAGGAATATTACTTATAGTATAGGAAGAATATTATACACTCACCTAAAGGATTATTAGGAACACCATACTAATACTGTGTTTGACCCCCTTTCGCCTTCAGAACTGCCTTAATTCTACGTGGCATTGATTCAAAAAGGTGCTGAAAGCATTCTTTAGAAATGTTGGCCCATATTGATAGGATAGCATCTTGCAGTTGATGGAGATTTGTGGGATGCACATCCAGGGCACGAAGCTCCCGTTCCACCACATCCCTAAGATGCTCTATTGGGTTGAGATCTGGTGACTGTGGGGGCCATTTTAGTACAGTGAACTCATTGTCATGTTCAAAAAAACCAATTTGAAATGATTCGAGCTTTGTGACATGGTGCATTATCCTGCTGGAAGTAGCCATCAGAGGATGGGTACATGGTGGCCATAAAGGGATGGACATGGTCAGAAACAATGCTCAGGTAGGCCGTGGCATTTAAACGATGCCCGATTGGCACTAAGGGGCCTAAAGTGTGCCAAGAAAACATCCCCCACACCATTACACCACCACCACCAGCCTGCACAGTGGTAACAAGGCATGATGGATCCATGTTCTCATTCTGTTTACGCCAAATTCTGACTCTACCATCTGAATGTCTCAACAGAAATCGAGACTCATCAGACCAGGCAACATTTTTCCAGTCTTCAACTGTCCAATTTTGGTGAGCTCTTGCAAATTGTAGCCTCTTTTTCCTATTTGTAGTGGAGATGAGCGGTACCCGGTGGGGTCTTCTGCTGTTGTAGCCCATCCGCCTCAAGGTTGTGCGTGTTGTGGCTTCACAAATGCTTTGCTGCATACCTCGGTTGTAACGAGTGGTTATTTCAGTCAAAGTTGCTCTTCTATCAGCTTGAATCAGTCGGCCTATTCTCCTCTGACCTCTAGCATCAACAAGGCATTTTCGCCCACAAGACTGCCGCATACTGGATGTTTTTCCTTTTTCACACCATTCTTTGTAAACCCTAGAAATGGTTGTGCGTGAAAATCCCAGTAACTGAGCAGATTGTGAAATACTCAGACCGGCCCGTCTGGCACCAACAACCATGCCACGCTCAAAATTGCTTAAATCACCTTTCTTTCCCATTCTGACATTCAGTTTGGAGTTCAGGAGATTGTCTTGACCAGGACCACACCCCTAAATGCATTGAAGCAACTGCCATGTGATTGGTTGATTAGATAATTGCATTAATGAGAAATTGAACAGGTGTTTCTAATAATCCTTTAGGTGAGTGTAAATCCTGCATCATTTCAGTCTTCCATGTAGTCCGCAAATGAATGTAAACCATCATCATTGGACACCGCAAGGCTAAACTGCACCTTAACGCGCCACATCTGCAACACAATGCACATCAGCACATCATTCCCAGTGGACATCATTTTCACGAAAAGCTTACATTTAAATGGACATATAATGCATATCTCAATAAATGCTAAAACTGTTCAGTTGTGTTGTGTTTACAAATTAATATTTTCTAAAATGTTGGGCGGATTCCCCCGGCCATCGCATGCAAAGACTCCTTTGTTTTGCACGAATGGCGTAGGCTAAATGACGAATGGCGCAGGCTAAATGACGAATGGCGTAGGCTAAATGACGAATGGCGTAGGTTAAATGGCGAATGGCGACGGCTAAATGACGAATGGCGTAGGCTAAATGGCGAATGGTGTAGGCTAAATGACGAATGGCGTAGGCTAATTGGCGAATGCTAAATGATGTATGGCGTAGCGTAGGCTAAATGACGAATGGCGTAGGCTAAATGACGAATTACGTAGGCTAAATGACGAATGGCGTCGGCTAAATGATGAATGGCGTAGGCTAAATGACGAATGGCGTAGGCTAAATGACGAATGGCGAAGGCTAAATGACGAATGGCATAGGCTAAATTACGAATGGCGTAGGTTAAATGACGAATGGCGTAGGCTAAATGACGAATGGCGTAGGCTAAATGACAAATGGCGAAGGCTAAATGACGAATGGCGAAGGCTAAATGACGAATGGCGTAGGCTAAATGACGAATGGCGTAGGGTAAATGACGAATGGCGAAGGCTAAATGACGAATGGCGTAGGCTAAATGACGAATGGCGTAGGCTAAATGACGAATGGCAAAGACTAAATGATGAATGGCGTAGGCTAAATGACGAATGGCGTAGGCTAAATGATGAATGGCGAAGGCTAAATGACGAATGGCATAGGCTAAATGATGATTGGCGAAGGCTAAATTATGAATGGCGAAGGCTAAATGACGAATGGCGTAGGCTAAATGATGAATGGCGAAGGCTAAATGATGAATGGCATAGGCTAAATGATGATTGGCGAAGGCTAAATGACGAATGGCGTAGGCTAAATGACGAATGGCGTAGGCTAAATGACGAATGGCATAGGCTAAATGATGAATGGCGAAGGCTAAATGACGAATGGCGTAGGCTAAATGACGAATGGCGTAGGATAAATGATGAATGGCGAAGGCTAAATGATGAATGGCATAGGCTAAATGATGATTGGCGAAGGCTAAATGATGAATGGCGAAGGCTAAATGACGAATGGCATAGGCTAAATGATGATTGGCGAAGGCTAAATGATGAATGGCGAAGGCTAAATGACGAATGGCATAGGCTAAATGACGAATGGCATAGGCTAAATGATGATTGGCGAAGGCTAAATGATGAATGGCGAAGGCTAAATGACGAATGGCGTAGGCTAAATGACGAATGGCATAGGCTAAATGATGATTGGCGAAGGCTAAATGATGAATGGCGAAGGCTAAATGACGAATGGCGTAGGCTAAATGACGAATGGCGTAGGCTAAATGATGAATGGCGAAGGCTAAATGAGGAATGGCATAGGCTAAATGACGAATGGCATAGGCTAAATGATGATTGGCGAAGGCTAAATGATGAATGGCGAAGGCTAAATGACAAATGGCGTAGGCTAAATGACGAATGGCGTAGGCTAAATGATGAATGGCGAAGGCTAAATGACGAATGGCGTAGGTTAAATGACGAATGGCATAGGCTAAATGATGAATGGCGAAGGCTAAATGATGAATGGCGTAGGTTAAATGACGAATGGCGTAGGCTAAATGATGAATGGCGAAGGCTAAATGACGAATGGCATAGGCTAAATGATGATTGGCGAAGGCTAAATGACGAATGGCGTGGGCTAAATGACGAATGGCGTAGGCTAAATGATGATTGGCGAAGGCTAAATGACGAATGGCGAAGGCTAAATGATGATTGGCGTAGGCTAAATGACGAATGGCGTAGGCTTAATGACGAATGGCGTAGGCTAAATGACGAATGGCGTAGGCTAAATGACGAATGGCGAAGGCTAAATGACGAATGGCGTAGGCTAAATGACGAATGGCGTAGGCTAAATGATGAATGGCGAAGGCTAAATGACAAATGGCATAGGCTAAATGATGATTGGCGAAGGCTAAATGATGAATAGCGTAGGCTAAATGACGAATGGCGTAGGCTAAATGACGAATGGCGTAGGCTAAATGACGAATGGCGTAGGCTAAATGATGAATGGCGAAGGCTAAATGACGAATGGCGTAGGCTAAATGACGAATGGCGTAGGCTAAATGATGAATGGCGAAGGCTAAATGACGAATGGCGTAGGCTAAATGATGAATGGCGTAGGCTAAATGACGAATGGCATAGGCTAAATGACGAATGGCGTAGGCTAAATGATGAATGGCGTAGGCTAAATGACGAATGGCGTAGGCTAAATGATGAATGGCGAAGGCTAAATGACGAATGGCGAAGGCTAAATGATGAATGGCGTAGGCTAAATGACGAATGGCGTAGGCTAAATGACGAATGGCGTAGGCTAAATGACGAATGGCGTAGGCTAAATGACGAATGGCGTAGGCTAAATGACGAATGGCGAAGGCTAAATGACGAATGGCGTAGGCTAAATGATGAATGGCGTAGGCTAAATGACGAATGGCATAGGCTAAATGACGAATGGCGTAGGCTAAATGATGAATGGCGTAGGCTAAATGACGAATGGCGTAGGCTAAATGATGAATGGCGAAGGCTAAATGACGAATGGCGAAGGCTAAATGATGAATGGCGTAGGCTAAATGACAAATGGCGTAGGCTAAATGATGAATGGCGTAGGCTAAATGACAAATGGCGTAGGCTAAATGACGAATGGCAAAGGCTAAATGACGAATGGCGTAGGCTAAATGATGAATGGCATAGGCTAAATGACGAATGGCGTAGGCTAAATGACGAATGGCGAAGGCTAAATGACGAATGGCGTAGGCTAAATGACGAATGGCGAAGGCTAAATGACGAATGGCGAAGGCTAAATGACGAATGGCGTAGGCTAAATGATGAATGGCTAAGGCTAAATGACGAATAGCTTAGGCTAAATGACGAATGGCGAAGGCTAAATGACGAATGGCGTAGGCTAAATGACGAATGGCGAAGGCTAAATGACGAATGGCGAAGGCTAAATGACGAATGGCGTAGGCTAAATGATGAATGGCGAAGGCTAAATGACGAATGGCATAGGCTAAATGACGAATGGCGAAGGCTAAATGACGAATGGCGTAGGCTAAATGATGAATGGCGAAGGCTAAATGACGAATGGCATAGGCTAAATGACGATTGGCGTAGGCTAAATGACGAATGGCGAAGGCTAAATGACGAATGGCGTAGGCCAAATGATGAATGGCGAAGGCTAAATGACGAATGGCATAGGCTAAATGACGATTGGCGTAGGCTAAATGACGAATGGCGAAGGCTAAATGACGAATGGCATAGGCTAAATGACGAATGGCGTAGGCTAAATGATGAATGGCGAAGGCTAAATGACAAATGGCATAGGCTAAATGATGATTGGCGAAGGCTAAATGACGAATGGCGAAGGCTAAATGACGAATGGCGTAGGCTAAATGACGAATGGCGAAGGCTAAATGACGGTTTTGCCTCAAAACATTGGATTTCACCAAAAGGAAGCACTGTTAATTTTGCACCTACAATAATCAAGGAACTCAATTATCATTTTTGTTTTGTCTTGAAGTTGCATTCAAATTCCATTTGGCTCAAAAATCTTGATCCCACCTTTATAAATCATCCAGAACAGATTCAAACCAAACGGTTCAGCACACACAGAAATCATTTGCTTTGTGGTGTGTATTGGGGCAATACGTTTCTATTAACTTCAGATAGATTAAATATGTATGCTGTCAAATTTATCTAAAAGAATGATCTAATTTGACATTCCGGTAATTCAATCTGTTCTGGATGATTTATAAAGATGGGATCAGGATAGCAGCACCAACAGGAGGTGGAGGTGAACTCATGAATCGGTGAATAATGCGGTGGACATCCATATGGAGAAACATTCATAGTTCTGCACAATATTAAAGACTTCTATTAAACATTTAAAATGTCAATGGCATGTCAGACTAGGCTATTGGAGGATTAGAGGAGGCTGATGACTAGGAGAATCACAAAGTAGGAGACACTCATTTAGCACAAGCTCACTTAAATGTAATTTCACGGTTTCGCCCGCCGATCCAGTGTTAAAGGCACAGTGTGTAAGCTTCGCTGTAGAGGATGCTTATTCACAACAACAACAAAGGTTTAGCTTTATGATGGCAGGGATGAACGTGGGATTTGTTGTCTTCACCTCCACAGCCGATGGAAAGCAATCCGACGGGAATCATGTTCATGGATGAGCTAATGTATAAAAGGTTTATTAACGTTACTGTGGTGTGAAGCAGGAGCTGAGAGCCCGGGATATTTTACATGGCTGATTTTATAATGCTTATACGCCGCAGTCGGCCACTGCCGCTCCTTTCGTTTTGTTGTTTATATTTATTTTACGATTAAAGTTACATTTAACGTCCACCTCTTTTCCCCCTGAATTTGAACTTTGTTGCAGTTACTTTTGATAACTTAAATTCACATTATTTTATTTCGGTAACACTTTACTTGAAGGGGTGTGCATAAGACTGACATGACACCTTCATAATCATGACATGACATGTTATGAATATGAAGGAAGTTTTAATGCATGTTTATGACAACTGTCATTAAGTGTCATTCACTCAATTATGACAATTTTAATGCAAATATGACATTGTTTGAGATGTGTTTGTTATGACACCTTGACATAAACCAATACATCATAACCTGTCAGTGTCTTTGTCATGACAACTTGACATTACTAAGACAACACAACCTGTCATAAACATGACATAGCAGATTAATTATCAATCTTAAGAAACCACTGAGCTTTATGGGTTAACATTACATTAAACTGTCAGGTGGTTGGTTTTGACATTGGCTGTCATGAGGCCATTATAACATTTTAATGACAAATTCAATGTGTACCACTGTAGTTGAGGTCAAGAAAAATATTCATGACACAGTTATAATGGCCTTATGACACTATAGGTTATAATATTAAATGTGAAATTATTTAACTTTGTTTCATTTTTTAGATCACATAAACCAGCTGTTTTAACGTGTGTGTAGACCTTTTATATCCACTGTATGTTAGATTCTCTTTGCATTTGTATATGAGGTAGGCCATTCTGCTCTAATTGATTCTATCATTTCGTTTTAGGAGTTTGACTATTTGTATGATGGTGTTTTCTGTTCCTCCAGCTACAGATTAAAGTGAACGGACAGAGAGGAGGAATGGGAATCTGTATTGCGGGAGGGAAAGGCTCCTTGCCGTACAAAGAGAACGACGAGGTAGGCCTTATCTTCCTGTAGCCACAACGCCTCAATCTCTTTACACACTATTACTATCATACTCCTTTGGGTCTATTTACGATGAAATATACACATGGACTGGAATACTAATGCGCATCCAGCCAGCGATTGGACAGATGATATGACTGTGCCTGATTTGCTTTGATTGATTTGTCTTCTTCTTCAGGGTATCTTCATCTCCAGGGTGTCTAAAGGCGGACCAGCGGAGAAGGCCGGGCTTCATGTTGGGGACAGAGTGTTGGAGGTAAAATAAGTGTATCATAATGTATGTACAGTTTAACGATACATTGATTTAATGACTAATTGGGGAGCATGGTTACAACTGGGGATACTTGATCCTTCAAAGGTACAATCATCAACTGCTGATTGTGTGATTCTATCAGTGACTTGTCTCTGCATATTAAGCTGGAACAAGAGAAAGCATTTTAATGTCAAACTAAATTCCCATAATTACTGGAGCATTGGTTACCTTTAGTTCAGTGGTTGTCAGCTTTCCATGTTTCACGAGTGACCAAACTCAGTAAAAAATGTTTTATCATACAAAAGTGCACAAGTGAAATAGAACTGTTAAAATATATCCATATTATCATGACCTGTGCAGGCCCAATTATATGCAAAAAATAGTTTATCATTTACATGTATTTTTTAATAAGGCATGACAGTTTAAACGTTCAAGTGATGTTACATACCTGACTTATAGCAGTCTTTATTTAATTCGTATCTTTCATGCATATTTTTTTGCTTCATTTTCGTGGACATTTACGCTGAGTCCGAAATCACGTACAGTCGGAGTAGGCACTACATTTGAGTTAGAATTTACGTCCCGATTGTTAAAAAGGAAACTCTAGTCTATATAGTGTGAATATGGGTAGTATGAATGAAATGTAGACGTTCTACATCCGCCATGTTGTCATTATCATCATGTGACCTACCCAAGGGGGTAATCCATCGACCGGAAGTTGAAGCCGGCCGGGTGCCGCCATGTTGTAGCAGAACTTCACTTGCGTTAGCATTTCCATTGACTCCCATTCATTTTGGCGTCACTTTGACAGCGAATAACTTTACATCTGAGGCGTTTAAAGACTCCATTTGTCCATTATTTATTTCTAAAGAAACACGACAATGTATAAAGGGCTCCATTACCTTCTATGTTACATTATGGCCCCGTAGAAACAGATTTAGTAAAAATAGGCTAACGATTGCGTCATCAGGCAATCGGGGGGACGTCCCGTCAAGGGAGAAGCCCGTAGATAATGAGTCCATAAAAGCAACGGAATACTTACTCCTGCTCACTCACGCCAAAGAACTCTTTGCTCAAGTTCCCCGTCTCTGCAAGATTAACGTTGGCAGTTTTCACGCACAGCTACTAGAAGATTAACGTCTGTCAGACAGGTTGCTCACGTCATCAAGCTTAGTTTGAGTCGGTTTGAGTCTGCGCGTCAGGAACGGAAGTGCTCAAAAATCGCTAAAAATGGGCTTCAACTGTCTCAACTGAGTTCCAATGAGATGGCTCTGTCCACTTCTTATACTGTCTATGGACCTACCAGCGTCAGCGTTTGATAACGGGTTTTGAAAACGTTATCGTCTCTATGTAAACTACAAAAACGTGAATTTGTGAACAATGCGTAGTGTTTCTTTACAAAGTGACATCGCCAACTACAGGCTTGGCATGAAAAATACAGTTATTAGTTTCTTAGTTCTTATTTTATTACTGTTTACTTGTCTTCAATAAGTTTGGCTAGTATTAGTTTTTGCAGTTCTGTGTGAACGGGGATCGTTTTGACAACGTTGTCATCTACGTGAAAAACGCTAATGAAAACCGTTTCCCTTTTTTAAGTACATTGTTTTCATGTAAACGTACTATAGTTTGGCTTGGTCTGGTGTTGGTTGAGTTTAGTGCACACTAATGTGCTTATTTTCCCTTTGTGGATTATACTTTTTTGTTGTGTCTTTTGTTAATTATAGTAATTGCTTCAAATGAGGTCTTCTTTGCCTAGCGTCATCTGCCTGACAAGACGTTACACAGTATCTTTGTTCTATTAAACTTATTTGTCCCATTTCTTGTTATTAGTTCTTATTTTATTACTGTCTTCAATAAGTTTGGCTTAGTATTAGTTTTTGCCATGGTATTAAAATAATCAAGAATGCATCTAAGATTCTAGTCTCTTACATACGGCAAGAAATAATTCATCTAATCACACTTTGTGGTCAGTACAATCTTGTATAATACGACTTGCTGTTTTTGTATTTGTTTTTATTGTATTTATATGATATTTGTATTTTTGTAATTGATTTTTTGCCATGAAAAGAGCTCTGAATGCTGACATTAAATAAAATAATCTGAATCTGAATCTGGATAGTACAAACCATGTTTATCGTTGCAAGTAGAACATACATTTTTTGATTCCACCAAATGACACATGAATTTTGGCCAAAATACAGTAGAGCTTGATTGGACGAACAGCCTTTGAACAATGAAAGATGCGTATGCACTGTGACTGTACGTGTTTCTCCTGCTGACCCGGGTATAGTTGTTTCTCCGATGGCCATTGGAGGGCATCATTACACAGATGCTATGACCCCATGAGCCTTAAAGCAACAGGCACCCAGAGTATTTAGACATGCAAGTCACACTTAAAATCGTATTGATGTAATTGCATTACATAACATATAAAGCATAATGTATTTTAAAGAAATATAGCACAAACACATTTTAAGCAAAACATTCCACAAAAAGAAGTTTGTTACATGCTAAAACAATATATACAGTGTTCAAAAATGAAGACAACATGGATTTGAATGTTGATTTGAATCAGATGGAAGGGAAACTGACTTCATACTCCCACTAAAATCATCTTGATACCCTGTTGTTGGTTATTAGTTATTTACGTCTCAGGTTAGTTCAATTAAAGCTCTGTTTCCTCAAGCATGAGTTGTGCTGTATCTGACATGTTCAGGTAATTCTCTTATCCTCGGTTTAATATGCAGAAAACTAGAAGTCATAAGCCATTCATAGGTTGTTTTTTTTCCTTTAAAATTGTTGATGCTGTGGCTCTGTGGTATTTTCAACACACATCACTGTGACTATCCTGAGATGTGACATAGGCAGAAGTCAAAGGAAGGAAACAAACATGAGCTGCTTTTCCACAGTCGAGCCGAACGGCAAGGAACGCTTCCGGTTAAATGTCCACTTGAGTTTCTCGGCCCAGAATCCTCAGCGCGGTTGGCTGAACCGTAGTGACATCGCCACTCAGGATTGGTCACTTGTCTGTTCTCTGTATACCAGGCCAAGTGCGCTATTTGAAAGAGGTAAACACAAGTTAAAATAAATATCTGATCATCTGCCATATAAAGCAGTCGCTATTTACATCTCATACGGCCTGTAAACTCTTGCGTTACCAAAGGCAATGACTCACCCCATTTGTATTACATTATCAGCAGGGTTTGAAATGAACTTTTTCACTTTTCCAATTTTGCTACTACATTTTTAAGTTACCGGCCTTTCAGAGCTTCTACTATCCAAAAAAAGAAAAGAAATGAACCAGTTTAACTCCGTCACGGCATATATATATTATACAATTTGGATTTCATACATTAATTTCTTCAAACAAAATCCTGTCATCCAGCATCTCCTCTCTTCCTCTTTCATCCTCATCACCAAAAATGTGTTTTAGGTGGACAGATCAATACAGGACAGAGAACATGTAGGATGCTTGAAAATAACAATGCTTTTCTGCTCACCAAATGCCTTTTAATCTTCGCTATTGCTTCAATGCAAGTGAACAAGCGTATCGTTATTTGTTGTGTAGTGACGTGTGTGTTCAAGTAAGCCAGATATGAGCAGATTCTGCACAATACACTGTATTTAATATATCATGATCTCACGCTCGTGATTTGACAGTGTAACCCGCCACAGTTAATTTTTACCCGCATTCGGTGGGAGTTAATTTCAAACCCCACACTGGAAAATAAAATCATATCCGGATCGGCACGGAATGGAACGGTTGAGCAATCAGAACGGCTAAAGACTGTATAATATAATAGAAGGAGAACTCTGGGGTTTAGATGTTCCTTGCAAAAGTGGGCTGACTCCCACAGCTGACCAGCAAAACCTTAACTGGGTCAGCCCGTTTCTACAAATGGCAGGTGGGCAAACCGTTGGAAAACCTGTGTGAAAACAGTCATTTTCTCCACAATACTCTTTGGTGTGGAAATTACACACATCCTCTTGAAGGTCCCAGGGCATTTCCTCGTATAAATGGTGGGCATTTTCCTCATTGTTTGGGTTTCGTGGCATTTGTCACCGGCCTCTTTCCACACTCTAAAAAATGCTGGGTTGTTGAAACCCAATTTTGGGTAAATTATGGAGAAACCCCAACGTTGGGTTAAAAATGGAATTAAAAAAATGTAACCCAATGCCTGAGTTTGTCCATATTTGACCCAGAGTTGGGTTGAAACAACCCAGAATTTTTTAAAGTGCAACTAATGCCTGGGTTTGTCCATATTTGACCCAAAGTTGGGTTGAAACCACCCAGAATTTTGACTCACTGCAGCTCATTTCTGATTTGTGCCTCCAGGTCAATGGCCTGGACATGCTGGAGGTCAGCCATCATGAGGCGGTCAGCGTCCTGAGGAATGCTGGGAGTTGTATAAAGATGAAAGTGTTACGGGAGAGATGCGTGTCCATGGAGCCGCGAGCGAATGACAGGTCCGACGGCATGGAGACCGACCCGCAGATCAGCCAAGAGTGGGATGTTCCCGTGAGCTATAGCAGATCGGGCGGCCCACAATCCTCCACTGATCCCACGCCGGACCGCAGCTCACTGACCAACCGGACAGACGCTTCGGCCTGCAACGGAAACGGACCGGTAGGCTGGAGAGATGAGAATATAAAACGAGCAATTATATTATATTCCACAGAGGAATAAAAGCAATGAAATGGAATTAGAATCAGGGTACGTTTACACGACAACGATGCGCTTAAAATGGAGACGTTTTTCCTATGAGTTTTCCGCGCACAGACGACATCATCGTCAAAACGATCCCCGTTAACACGGATCCGCGAAAACGACTAAAAGCGCTGTATTCTGCTGCCAGGCCAGGAGATGGCGATGAAACACTGTAGACTGAACACGTGATGATACGCATGTGCATGACGTCATCGTCTTCAGAGATTGAGTTTTTGTCATTTACACGGAGACCGTTTTCAAAAGTTTGCGTTTTCAGGCGCCCAAAACAAAACGCCATTGTCGTGTAAACGAACAGCCAGAGCGCATAAAAAGTTTTACGTTTTTAGTTGAAAGCGTTGTCGTGTAAACCAGGGGTTCTCAAACATTTTGGAGCCAGGGACCCCTTACAGGGGAAAAACATTTTCAAGGACCCCCTCATATTTATAACAGTGACTGAGCCTAAAGTTAATGTGGGAGCGGTTAATGAAATATTTTGACACAAATAGTCTCCACCCAGGGTCATATGCAGGGTTTTCTAAATAGCATACTGAGGTCCCAAAAGTGATCTTGCTAGGGGGGTTCGGGGGCATGCCCCCCTGAGGAATTTTAGATTTTCTTGATCTACACGTGCATTTTAAGGTGTTTTTAAGGCCAAAAATTTTACTTTTTTCTTGATATACCCAGAAAGAATGGAAGTGCAATGTGACAACATGTCCCATAGGTGGGGCACATTCCCAGCTGGCATTCGACTGACATTAAACGTTTAAATGTGGTTGAAATAATGTCAGTTTATGAAAAAACATTAATTCAACGTTAAAACAACATTGAACACCAAATAGCTGAAGTTGTGTTGTTGACTCACTACGGATTCAACATAGAAATATAAAAAAGTTGTACGTCAAATCAACATTAATTTTACAACCATGACTTTTAAACATTTTGTTGAAATACAGTATATCAGTAGAAAAATAACGTTGTTCCAAAATCCAATTTGCAATCTGATTTGCAAAATCGAAACAAAATTCAACGGTTATCCAACACTGGAACCTGACGTTGATTCAACAGTGACTCGACGTTAAAATGCCAGCTGGGTTGTAACATGACCATATGACAGATTAAAATGTTATCTGATCTAATCAAACAAATATACAAGACAAACAAAAATATTTTCTCAATAAAATACAATTATTAACTTTTTCATATAAAATAATGGCATTTTAAAATAATTAAAAATAAACTAATTTTTGAGTTTGACAACGAACACACAGCTATACAACATAGTTCAAAACATATTCATTGTAACGCGTGACAACATGACCCACTTGCACAACTGGGATTTACGTTGTGGCGTTGTATATTTCCTATCCCGGTTGATACTTTGCAAACTGATTGTTTCTGTCGTTCGTTTAAAACTTCTATCTAAAACAGCTGTTTAGTTTAGCGATTTACATCTTATCTCGCACTTTATGACCGAATAACTGAAGCGTCATGCGGAAATTCGCGCTCGGCTTGCAGCTTCTGTGAACATAAACCCGCCTACTTTGATTTAATCTCCGACTCAAACATTTTGACATTGACGAGCGCTGTTAGTCTGCTGAAGCAGCTCAGATGAGAAGCTCAGTTATCATCGCGATGTTTAATATCCTTGCAGCACCAAATTAGAGTTAATATTAGGCAATTATTTCACAACTTTCATTATACACATAGAAAAATTACAGAGGGCCTCAATTGAGGGACCTCAATTGTGGGTATACGACCCTGTCCCTATGCACAAATTTATAATTTACTGTATTTTCCAGAAAATAAGTTGCACCTGAGTGTGTAATACTTTGTTGCGCTCTTGAGGCGTAGTAGGCCTACTTCCCCTCACGATCCACAGCAAATCCTTAAATTAATGGTATTCAGAACAAAACGAGAATGAAAAATAATAATATTAATAGATAATAATACAAATAATAATAATAATAGTATACAGACAACATTTATTTAAAACATCAAGTCTAAACGAATTAAGTTGAATCGAAACTGAAACTGCAGACGTTGGGCTCGTGCATCTCTCATTCGGTCCAAAGTTTCCATATTTGCGATGTAGCCTAACATTTGGATGCTTAACTATTTATGTAAAGAAAGCTTCATGCTTCAGTCCCAATATAGGCCTACAAGTATCAGCATCTTCACATTTGGAGAAATGAGATTGGAACAACAGCAAGTCGACAGTATATGATTGACCGTCACTGCCTTCATATTGTACAACAGACAAATTAAATTAAGCAGAACTTTTTATAAGTTCGGTGATTATTTTATTTTGATAATGAACAGGTTTTGATGTCAAATTAGCAGTGCTAGAACTGACATATTGTGCGCGCACACGAGACGCCGGCGCGAACACTTGGATTTTTCCTCAGCAGTGGAAACAAAGGAATACTCTTATTTATGGTCATACAGATAAGAGTACATCATTCAAAATGGCAAAGTGTCTATTTTTTATTTGTGTATAATTAAAAATGACTACAAAATGCCATGCCTTTTAAACATAAAGAACACAACAGGATGCGCGTTCTGCCGTCTCCGTCTCCTTTCTGGCGCACGTGCCCAAAAATCGACCAAAACACAGCGAATACTTGACGCACAGACATAAGAAATATAGATAGATTATCTATCTATAGAAACCTTTAAGAGCCTACTTTTTTATTATTTGACATTAAATGCATTATATAAGTCACTTTGGAATAAATAGCAAGTTTTCAGATGCTAAAGAAAAGATGACTTATAGTCGGGGAAAAACGGTAGGCTGTTATAAATTATTTCGCGGACCCCCTGGCTATAGTTCACGGACCAACAGGGGTCCGCGGACCCCACTTTGAGAACCACTGGTGTAAACAGCCCCTAAATTAGACCTATTGAAGTACTAGATTTGATTATTGTTAAAATCAATACTCGTGGTTTTGGAACTGTAATGCGTATTTTCCCGGTTTTCTCTTGATGTTCTTCATGTTATTTTGCCAGAATGAGCCAGTACAGGACTTACGGCCAATGAAAGACACGGAGACCTTCAGAAACAATGCCCTCCAGGTTGTGAAAAACACCATGACGGTACGTGTGGAGGATAGGAAGCGCTTTAACCATGAAATCTCAGGAATGCATTTGATCAACATTCAGTCCTTCATTCCTGAGAAATATTCTATTCTTCATTCCTTCATGTCCTGTTGTCCTTTCATTCAGTCTCTGTGAAGAAATAAACATCGGAAACTTTATAGACTCAAAGAGAATATTACAATAGAAGAAAATAATGGAGAAACAGAAACCAATTCTAAACAAACTTTGTCCTATCTAAACATCTTAATAAAAACAAATTCATTGATTTCCTTTATTTCCATTCACAAATGTAGAGATCACAGATCTCATCTTGTTTTCCAGGACATTTACAATTGTGCTTCTCTGATCAGTTTATTTTGTTTTGAAGTCAGCGTGAAACAGAATCTGTGATCGTTTCTTCCCTATTACTGACATAAACCTGCATGAAATATCTTCTCAAACTGGAAATATGTGTGGCGGGACTTGGTTTGTCCATCAGGAATTGGTTGTATGATCTCATGCGAGTCAAAAAAGAAGAAAAAAAAATAGTGACGTGCACTTCTATAGGTAATAGAAGTTAATTGATAAGTTGGTTACACTTACTTCAATAGTCATTCTTAGATATTCTACTAACTCTGACTGGAGTATTAGTAGACTGTTAGGGTTAGTAGAATAAGTTTACATGTACACTCTAAAAAAATGCTGGGTTGTTTCAACCCATATTTGGGTCAAATATGGACAAACCCAAATGTTGGGTTAAAAATGAAATTAAAAAAATTACAGTTGAAAGTGAAAGTTGAAGTTGGGTTAAAATTTTAAATTACATTTTTAACCCAACATTTGGGTTTGTCCATATTTGACCCAAATTTGGGTTAAAACAACCCAGCGTTGTTGATAGTGTAGTTGCAAAGTTACTTATAGTCAGTAGAATATCTAAAGAGGACCATCAAAACAAAAGTGTTACCGATAAATAATTTTATTCTCTTTTCCCCCCTCAGTTCTGCTATTATATAGTAGAGAAAACAGAAAATACTGCCAATTTGAAATGATGTCTGTGTCCGAACGAAGTGTCCATGTAGTAACATAAACTTACTTATTAAGTTGAAATATTTAAATAAGCTTACACTTATTGTGGACATAGGCTACATGTTTTTACATTGTACTTATATTTAATTTAAAAATACCTGCATGTACAGCTGCGATTCATTTCTGTAATTACATCTATAGTTAAACTGTTGACTCTTTAACTCACCCGTACTGTACCAGCAAACCCGCCCTAACCGTACCCGTATTCAGCTCAATAGCAGCACTGCAACACAATAAGTGCATTGTTCCTGACATTTTTTTTTTCTAGGCCTACGTATAGCAAAGACACCTAATACAAAGTGTGACTAATTTCTGTTCTACCCGAGACAAGTTTAATTCTACCTGAGAAAGCACTCATTTTAAAGGCCGGTTCCCGACCGCTGTGAAATGTTATTTCCTCTCGGCTCGCTGTGACAGATTCCTCGGATCATCCTCACACACCCCTCGACCTCGGATGAAGACGTGGAGCCGCTCACGCAGGGTCCAGATGATGGAGACTTTGATCGGGACTTCAGTGACATCTACTCCGACTGCCTGAACAACGCTTTCTATCCTCTGTGAAAGTCAGCTACTCTATCTCTCTTCACACACACTTAACCTGACTCCGCCAGATGGATTTGCTCCGCATATCCATCTGGAAACCTTCCGTTGAAGTAGTTTTGGTAAGGGGCGAAAATACTGGTTAGCTGATTGGCCTATGTTGGTGATAGACGGGCCAAATTAACCAATCAGATCAACGAAGCATATGACGTACTAACAGAGCGTATCTTTTCCTCTGAGAAAAGCCTCCAGAGCAGTGTTTTGCTCTTCTTTCAGTGAAGAAATACTCTGTAATTCCGATAAAACTTGCTCGATAGCCACGCTGATGCTAGTTTCATCCGCTGAAGCCGACATGTTCTTTAGACTGAAGTGACGCGCTTCTCGTTGCGTCACACCTCAACCCGCCTCAAAGCCAACGCTGATTGGACGTTCGTTTGGTGAACTGCTCCCAAATTTTCTTTAACGGAAAGTATCCAGACTGATCTGCGAGTGAAACCTTGAAAGCTCGCGAGATCAGGATGGTCTCACGAGGCTAACACACACTACCAGTTCCAGTCAAAGCGTTTAGATCGGTACCATTTATGTTTTTAGATGAAGTCTCTTCTGCTCACCAAGGATACATTTACAGGTGAAACTCGGGAAATTAGAATATCTTGTAAAAGTTCATTTATTTCAGTAATTCAACTTAAAAGGTGAAACTAATATATTATATAGACTCATTACATGCAAAGTGAGATATTTCAAGCCTTTATTTGTTATAATTGTGATGATTATGGTTTACAGCTAATGAAAACCTTTTCACAATATTCTAATTTTGAATTTGGGGTTTTCATAAGCTGTGAGCCATAATCATTACAAATAAAGGCTTGAAATATCTCACTTCGCATGTAATGAGTCTATATAATATATTAGTTTCACCTTTTAAGTTGAATTACTGAAATAAATGAACTTTTGCACGATATTCAAATTTTTCGAGTTTCGCCTGTATTGGATAAAAAAAACAGTAATATTGTTAAATATTATGACAAATTTAAAATAACTGTTTTCTATTTTTATATATTTTAAAATGTAATTTATTGCTGTGATCAAAGCTGAATTTTCATCATCATTACTTCTTTACTTCATTAGCATCATTGATGCTAAAAAAAATCAAATCATCATATTAGAGTGATTTCTGAAGGATCATGAGACACTGAAGACTGGAGTAATGATGCTAAAAAACTCTTTATATATTTACGTAGAAAACAGCTGTTTTAAATTGTAATGATATTCCACAATATTACTGTTTTACTGTATTTTTAATCAAACAAATGCAGCCTTGGTGAGCTGAAGAGACTTAAACATATAAAATCTTACCGATCAAAAACTTTTGACTAGTGTATTACTGTGCTAAATTGTATTGCTTTCATACACTTTTTGTCCCAGAGATTATTTATTATTAACGAAGAGCGTGTGGTTGAAGCATGACATCAGCATGTCAAGGATGTGTATTCATGCTAAGTGAATCTCAGATTTGCATGAATCTCAGACGGCAGGACGCATTATTGATCAGGAAAAGCACTGGCGTGCGATTCATTGCATTTACAAAACATGACAGCACAAATAGTCACTGAGAGCAAATTGGTAATGAAAAAGCGAGATGAACAGAGAACGTCTCAGTTACGTATGTAACCCTAGTTCCCTGATAGGGAACGAGACGCTGCGTCAAACGCTGTGGGAACGCCCCTGCGTTGTGCGTCATGAAGCACGTATGGAATCAGCCCAATGGAGAGACGGAACGTCATAGGCGGGTGACGTCATCGACCAGGAAACTATAAAGCACCCCAAAAACACAAGCGCATCAGCTTCTGATAGGCCTGAAGGAGCGCTTAACGGGAATGCCGGGAGTATGGCAGAACGACGCAGCGTCTCGTTCCCTATCAGGGAACTAGGGTTACATACGTAACCGAGACGTTCCCTTTCAAGGGAACTTCGAGCTGCGTCAAACGCTGTGGGAACGCGAATACCCACGTCGCCATAGGAGCAAGTGACCGTCATGTGAGATCTAGCGCACAGCGGACGAGAGCACCTGCACGGTGAAGACCATCCAGTCGCATCACAAACCTCACTCAGGGAAACTCCTGACAATAAAGCTTTGGATGCAGCCATACTCCTAGTAGAGCGGGCTCGTACAGCCAAAGGTGAAGGCTGACCAGCCGACTCATAAGCAAGTGAGATAGCCTCGACCACCCACTTGCTCATTCTCTATTTAGACGCAGGACACCCTTTCCTGGGTGGCCCGAAACATACAAATAAATGTTCTGATTTCCTCCACAGGGCAGCTCTGTGGACATAAGCGTCTAACGCCCTCACTGGGCAGAGCAAATTAAGTTTCTCCTGGTCTGACGACAGAAATGGAGGAGGACAGAAAGCCTGCAGAACTGTAGGTCTAACAACATTAGTAGGGACCTTAGGAACATAACCTGGCCTAGGGTGTAGAAAAGCCTTAACCATACCAGGCGAAAATTCCAGGCACGAACTGCTGGCCTCAGCCTCAAAGTGCCACGAAGGAAACGAGTTATAAGCGGGTGTCTCCCAAGAAAAACTCCACTGAAAGGGACGTGGTAAGCAGCCAGTGCCGCCACATACACCTTTAGTGTGGAGGGGGATAACCCTGTGGAGAAACGCTCCTGCAGGAATTCCAGCACTGCACCCACTGGGCAGTTAACTGGGTCCTACAGGTGTTCTCCATACCAAGAAGTGAAAAGTTTTCACTTCAAAGGCATATAGCTTCCTCGTGGATGGAGCTCTGGAGTGAAGGATGGTCTCAACAACCTCGGTTGAGAGACCGGAATCTAAGAGCTGGGCGCCCTCAGAGGCCAAGCCCACAGTTTCCATAACTCTGGGCGGGGGTGAAATATCATGCCGCCCGCTTGAGAGAGTAGATCCCTCCTGACCGGGAGCTCCAAAGGAGAGACGTCCAGGAGAGAAACCAGGTCCGCAAACCATAGTCGGGCCGGCCAGAACGGGCCTACTAATAGTAGGCTGACCCCGTCCCGGCGAACCCTCTCCAGAACTCCTGGTAGCAGAGCAATCGGGGGAAAAGCGTACAGACGTGACCTCGGCCACGGCTGCACCATAGCGTCCAACCCCAGAGGGGATGGATGACTGATGGAGAACCACAGACGACAGTGCGATATCTCCTTGGAAGCGAATAGGTCCACCTCGGCGCGACCGAAACTCAACTAAAGGAGCTCCACCACCTCAGGGCCGGAGTCTCCATTCCCCCGGCCTCGGCCCCTACCTCGACAGAGAGTCCGCTACCACATTCAAATACCCAGGAAGATACATTGCTCTCAGTGATAGTAACTTCCCTAGGGACCACAGGAGGACCTGACGGGCCAACTTGTAAAGCCGACGAGACCGCAGGCCCCCCTGACGATTTATATAAGAGACCACCTACGTGTTGTCTGACTGAACTAGCACATGATGACCTCTCAGGTCTGCTAGGAAGTGTTTCAGAGCCTGAAACGCTGCCAACATCTCTAGACAATTTATATGCCATGATAGATGATGGTCCTGCCACAGACCTTGGGCTGGACGACCACTCATGACCGCCCCCCACCCTGTGAGGGAAGCATCCGTCGTTAGCTTTACGCGACGACAGAGAGCCCCCAGCACAGGATCTTTGGATAGGAACCAAGTTTCTTTCCACAAGACCAGAGCACGAAGGCAGCGCCGCGTGACTTTGATCGTGCGGAGTGGATTTCCCCTCGGGGAGAATCCCTTGGTCCTGAGCCACCACCGCATTGGTCTCATGTACAACAGGCCAAGGTATAACGTTGGACACTGCTGCCATCAAACCCAACAGTTTCTGAAACTGCTTTACAGTGAGTAGCTGGCCTTGCTTTACTGTTTCAAGGCTGAAGAATCGAAGCGATGCGGGTGACCAAATCCCAAACAACGCCCAGAAAAGTGGTCTCCAGGGAAGGAGATAAACACTTTTCTTCGCGTTCAGCCTCAATCCCAACTTCCTGATATGCGCGAGGACGACATCTCGATGTCGAACCGCCATCTGCTCCGTAAAGTACGGGGAGATAGCTAGACCGAATGGAAGAACCCTATATTGGAATGCCTCGCCCCCGAAGGCAAACCTCAGGACCCTTCTGTGTTGTGGAAGTATGGAAATGTGGAAGTAAGCGTCCTTTAGATCTATCGTGACAAACCAGCCCTCGGACCTGATTTGTGACACGACCTGCTTGATAGTGAGCATCTTGAATTGAGCTTCCCTACCGAGCGATTTTATAGGCGCAAATCTAAAATTGGACGCAACCCCCCATCCTACTTTGGAACGATGAAATATCGGCTGTAATAACCTAGCTCCAAACTGGGAGGAGGAACCCATTCTATAGCCCCCTTTTGAAGGACCGTTTTCACCTTGTTCCATTACCAGAGCCTGCTTGGGGCCCACACTATGGGCAGAACCCCTCTGAGTTTCGGTGGACGACACCTAAATTGGATCGCATAACCTCTTACTACTGTCTGCAGGACCCACTGAGATATTCTTGGAAGGCTTATCTACTCTGCCAAACAAATTCTACTAAGGGTACCAGTCTCTCGAGACTGGTCTCTGGTGTAATTTGAGCAGCAAACACAGCGCCCTGTAACGGCGCACCGGCAGGGAACAACTGGTTTGACTGCTCTGAGACCCTCCTCAGAGGGGGCGAGCGTCCCTCGGGAAAGCACTCGCTGGGACCGTCTACGCCCCGGCATGAAGGCGGGGTTGGCAGAACGGGCCCCTGAGGGCACCGAGGAAGAATGGGCACCGTAAAAAGAGGTGAACACCTTTCTCCCTCGATGGGGACCACCCTCAGTGTCAGAGGCGGCGAGCGTCCCTCGGGAAAGCGCTCGCTGGGACCGTCTGCGCCCCGGCATGAAGGCGGGGTTGGCAGAACGGGCCCCTGAGGGCACCGAGGAAGAATGGGCACCGTAAAAAGAGGTGAACACCTTTCTCCCTCGGTGGGGACCGCCCTCAGCATAGCCAATATAACTGTCCTCAAAACAGTTCT